GATTTGATAGAATTAAAAAGTACGAAGAAGGCATTGAGAGCTGTGATAACTTTGTAATTTACCCCCCGTTTTCTGAATATATTTTTGAAAGATCCTGGAGTAAAATAATATGGTTGTGTCTGGGGCCCATGTTTATATATAGCAGAATATCAGTCTCTCTGAATATTGCTTTGAGAGGGAGACCTAACTCTGATTCTTGAGATTAGATTACTTCCTGGTGCTTTAGCTCAGTTCCTTCCACAGCTACATAGCTGGTTTTTAATTTTCAAATCTACTAGTGAAAACATGATGGAATATGTCACCTAAATTAATATTTTATTCTTCATATAGGTTGTCAGTTTAGCTACAGGAATCAATTCATCTGTTAATTTGCTGGTACCTTGATGAGAAAACATCTGTATCAGAGTTATCAATTCATGGTACTACTTAGCACTCTGTAACATAGGAGTCCCCACATTAACCTGATAATTGAGATTCTTGACTGAAGTCTTTACATACTGCTTCTCTTGAGATGCCTGATAAGTTCAGGAATTAAGGTATGCTATGGGAAATGCAAAATGGATTGATCGTTGGAATAGACCCCAGTGAATTTTCTTTATTCTTGAAATTACCTTGGCCCAATAGCCTTTGCTTGCAAGCTCATCTGTAAATTCTTGTTCATACAGATGAGCTTGTTATATTGGCTTGTTATATTGATGTGTTTAACCTATTTAAAGCTGATAATTATCATTGTTTTTTAAGTCGTTTGATTGTTATTGCTATTTGTTACTCTCTCCTTTTGCTTACATGGCTTTTTCCAGAGCTCAGATTTGTTAGTTTGTGCTCACATTTGAGCCTAGTGCAGGGCCTGACAGGTAATGGATAATACTTAGTGAAACCTGAGACAATCTGTTTAACTTCCTGGGCACCAGTTTCAGATGATCCCTTAGGAGAGTGGTTCTGAAATTGGGGGTGAGGTGACACGGAGAAAGGGTGACTTTCAAATGATATTCTTCTACTTTTATATAATGCAAAGTGTTACTGATAGATTTGAATACCATGCATAATGATTGAAAGAGAAAAGTCAGAATTTTTTTTTTTTTTTTTGGCGACAGAGTTTCGCTCTCGTTACCCGGGCTAGAGTGCAATGGTGCAATCTCAGCTCACTGCAACCTCTGCATTTCGGGTTCAAGAGATTCTCCTGCCTCAGCCTCCCAAGTAGCTGGATTTACAGGCATCCACCACCATGCCCAGCTAATTTTTTGTAATTTTAGTAGAGATGGGGTTTCACCATGTTGGCCAGCCTGGTCTCGAACTCCTGACCTCAGGTGATCCACCCACCTTGGCCTCCCAGTGTGTTGGGATTGCTGCTGTGCCTGGCCCACAGTTCTTTTTTAGCCTCTCGCTGCTTTAAGAATTTGTGGTTCCATGTTCATAATCTTTCCATGCTATTCCATCTCAACAAAACCAAATGACTTATTTTTATATAACTAAGTCTACCTTCATCCTGTCAGTTTCTGACGGGGCAAAAGCACTTAAAATGTTAAAATTGAGATAAGTCAGTAATCATGACTTCTTCTTATTAAGTTTTCTTCATTTTTACTCAAAAAGTAATTTTGCCTTTACACTAAGTGAAAGAGAAGCTATTTCTAACTACTCCAGAGAAATAAAAAGAGTTTATTTTTCGGCTTCATTTTAATAACATAGCTCTCTAACACATCAGCCTCATATTTCTGTGTGTGTGTTTCTTTGCTTCTTTCATATCATTACTTATTTTACCAGTAAAACAATTTAGACTTTGGAAAGTAAACTTTTTGGCTTACTTTTAAAAATTCCATTTACTTTTATTCTAATAAAAAATGTTTTAAACCATCTATTTTCTTCATTCCTGGCTGCTATTATCTTGACTATAATTGCCTAGTTTCCTTTCTGGCTGATCTATTGCTAGTCTTTATCTGGATGTTATTAAAGATTATAAATGCTCCATAGAGCACCATAGTCTCAGCCAGAATATTTTCAGATTCTCAGCTAAAATGAAACAGAACTGGTGCTTTGGCTGTTAAGTAAGTAGCTCAGATTTGTTATCAGAGAGTGTGAGGGGCTCTAAATTCATTACGTTAGCTGTTCCTGCGAGTGAGCATTTGAAAAATAGCTTCAGCTGTTTATGGATTGTGGTCCTCGGGCACCAGATAGTGGATGCTAGAATGTATTGCAGAAAAGCTGATTAAAGTACTAGGATCTCCAGCAGGAAGAGTAGAAAGTCATTTGTAATACCCGTGTCTGACTCTGTTGCATGCACTTATATATTTCCTTTTGAAAGCTTTGGTTTATTTTCAGCTCATCCAGGAAGGAATAATATTTTTGCAAAAATGTGCCTTTTGGTGAAAACATCAATAAACTATGCTTGATGAGAAGTTTATGTAGGGAGACTGATTTGAACTTTGAGGTTCCCAAATACTTTGCAGTTTTATTACCTCACTTATTGGAGTCATGTTTCACTATGACTTAAATTTCAATAGTAGCTACTTTTAAGTTCACAGTTTTAATGTGTTTTTATTGTATATCAGTTTGTATATCAGTATATAAAGTATATATACTTTAAAATGTAGACTGTCCAAATTTACTTTTTTTTCTTTTCTTTTCTTTTTCTTTTCTTTTTTTTTTTTTTTTGCCCACCTTCCTCTCTAACAAAAGTTTAGTGAAGCACAGTATGGAAGTATTTTATGTAATCACAAAACTTGCAGAATTTTAAGTATACTTTACACTCCCCTTGTTAAAATATTGCAGTATTTTCTCATTACTTTCAAAGTAAAGTTCAAACTTCTTAGCTTAGAGAGACATTCATGATGTTTCCATTTCTTCTCTGTCTCGTCCATACCCACTCGCCTGCGAGTGTCCTTTCCTTCAGGTACACAGAGCTGCTTACAACCATTCCCCTTTTCCTTTCTTTCACTGTGGTAGCTTCCTTCTCCCTGACCCTGCTTCACCTGAGGATTGCCTGTCCTTCCTTCACAACTGCTCAAGTTTCCCCTCTTCCAGGAAGACTTCCTTGACCCCCAACTACCCTTCCAATCATTAATCCCATTTAGACTGGCAAGTAAGCTCTCTAGTATTTCATAAGATTTCTTTATACTCTACTGTAATCTGTCTGTCTCCTTTAATAGAATAATATTCCCTGAGGTCAGAGACGATAGTGTCTTTCACTTTAAAACCTGGCATACAGGCCTGCTGAACAAATGCAACTCGACAAAATTAATACATTTTATAGATACATTGTGTAATTTGATTTACTTTGATCCTGGTTCTGTAGACATTTGGGGGCATGGGTTATGCCATTTTCCTCACAAAGAGTTTTTTAAGTTGACTCTCTAACTTCCATATTGCTACCTAAAATGTTTAACAAAGGTAGGTCTTGGACTTTGGGAAGGCAGGAACTTAATTGGGTGGAGGATATAATGAAATGACCTTTACTTTGTCAGTTGGCCAAAAAATCTGAAATACAATTTATGGGAAATTAGAAAGACCAACTCTATGACCATGAAATCGTATATTCTAGCTTATATTCTTAAACTTATAACTTTATTGATATACAGAGTTCCTTTAAGAGAAAATAGGTATTTAACAACTTTTTACTTTGAAAATACCGGGTTATAGTTTCCAGATTTTAACCTAATCTTAATCCAGGAGGCAAGACAAAGTTAAAGCTAAAGAATATTTGCTAATAATAGGTTATAGCATTTAAGTATGTACTTGGTAGCCTTGAGGTTTCTTTGTAATATTTGCATCAATATTCTGCATTCTTTAGCAAAACAAACAAAATGCGAAGTCCGTACTTACACATAAGATTTTTTAAAAGTTACTTAATCTTATTTCGTAATAGAATAACATTTTCATTTAGTCTAACGTTTTATTCTATGTGCACTTAGTATTTGCTTTCATTTAATTATTTGTTAAGATACTTTTTATAATTATTTCTTTAGTGATGTAGCAAACTAAGTAAGTGTATTATAGCTGAATCATAGTCCTGGCTGTTCTTTTTATTTATTGAAGGAACAAACGCTGTATTATTAACATTCTTTGTCCTTCAGTTGAGCTTGCAAAAAAAAATTTGTTAGATCTTGAATACCCTAAGAAATTTATTATGGATGATTTTTAATTATATTTCTATTTTCATCATTTGATATATTTTAAAAATCCATTGTGATAAAACAGAATGGGGAAAAATTACCCATGTCGCAGTAGTTAGATATCTGCTCATTCTCGAAGACCCCAACCTCCTTGTAAAAAATATTTTTAAGATTTATTATGTGTTCAAATTGGTATTGAATTTATATGAAGTGTTAAGATTACAGCATGTTAGAATATTATTGTCGTTTCAAAATGTATTCACTGTTTTGGTTTTTGGAGCACTGCCTCCAAGAGGTTCATGGCATTTGGTACGTAGTTCACGTATTTCTAGTCTACAGACCTTCCCTATCGAGTCAAAGGCTACATGGTTCTGATATTTGCATTTTCTACTGCTATAAAGCTCAACAATAGTAATTAATGTTTTTTTTTTTAACTTTCCATGTCATTACCAATAAAACTTCAGTTTTGAGAAGACTAGTAATTTGTACCTTTAAAGAGCCACATTCTTTTGCTTTTGTCTCAAAATGTATTATGCTTCACAAGTATACTGTGACAGCCTGAATAGAAAAGGGGGGAGGGGACATTGTCTTCAGCTGGCATGCTGTTATCAGAGGGAATGTGTTTCTGGACACGAGATTTAGCATTCATTGGTTGTCTGAAGAAAGCTATTTCATCTGAGGATTGGACAAGAAGCTGCGTCAATTTGCTGCCCGTCTCCAAGGCACTGGTGATGCTGCCTTCACAAGCTGGCTAACGTCACGGCTCCATCACCCAGCGGGGTGTGGACTCTCTTTTTCTGTTCTTCTCTATTTAATTCTCTATTTGCTGCCTACTGCATTTCTTAATCTGTCTTCTGCCAAATGCTAACAGCATGATATTTTGCAATCATCTAGGTGAATACAAGAAAGACGAACTCCTAGAAGCTGCTAGGTAAGTGATTCCATTCATTTTAAGTGTGTATAATGCATTAAGGAAGAGAAGGAGGAGGGCAGGTGGAGGACTATAAAAAATATAACGTTATTGTCTTTCTTGGATTTTATGCAATTATGCAGATACTAAATCTTTATATACTTTATTTTACATGATTAGTATATATAATAAAATCTTTTCATATGGTGATGATTATAAGATTAATTTTATTTGGAACATTTCTTAAGGTACCTGCAAACCCTAGTTGCCCAGCTTTTCCAATGATATTCTTGGAGTATTTAAATACCTATATCTTCATTTTCTTCTGAAGATTTTTCTAGTAAAGCTTGAATGAAGAGCAAAAAGTAAATGTTAAAATCCTCATCTATTTTTTTGTTGTTGTTCTTGGTCGTTTATAATTTAATTGATTAGCTCTTTACAGCCTTTTTTATGTATTTTTTAACTCCAATGTTGTAGTCCATTTATCAGAATAAAGTTTGTTTGTAATTAAGAAGATGACTTTATGTAGATAAAACAAAAATGTAGAAAACTACATTATTTAAGATATACCACTATAGAGTAATTAACAGATATTAATTAGAAATGTAGTAATTGAACTGAATATTGCAAAAGAGATTTCTTGTGATCCATGTAAAATAAATCAAAGCAAACCCATATTTTACTCTCATGTGAAAAAATTATGCATAAATATTCATAAGAAGCTTTGTAATTTTATAGGAATTGACTTACTACCTTTTTATAGGAGTGGTAATGAAGAAAAACTAATGGCTTTACTGACTCCTCTAAATGTGAATTGCCATGCAAGTGATGGGCGAAAGGTAAGTTATTTTAAATACAATCCTCTTTAATTGCCTTGCAACAAAATTTTGTGAAAGTGGCATATATATATAAGCACGTATACCTACATGGCTTTATTTTAACTAGCATCTTTTCACTGTAAATGAAATGCTGCTATATCTGTTATTGGCAGTTGTGACACATTCATAGAACTGGTGAAGCATGCATCTTAAGTAAGCCTTTTCTCTTAAATGTCAGACACTGCAAGTTATTTGTTACATGAAACTGCAGCTTTGTCGGTGATTAAAATTACAGCATATGCTCTTTTCTGGGTATGATAATGGAAACTGGAAATATGTATGTCCTGTTTACCCATCTTTGTTAAGACATTTGTGTTTTTGATTTCTTATTTGGCAGAAGAAGATTTGTTTGCTAGATACCAACACTTTTTCCATTAAAGCTGAGAAATTGCTGTTAATGATTTTTTTACATCTATACAGCTCTGCTCTTTTATTATTATTTGTATTGGCTAAGTTTTAATTGTGGAATATTGAAAGAAAATAGATTAAAACAGAGAGGAATATTCTATATTAATATACAGTTGCCATAAATGCAAGGTAATATATAAAATATACAGCTGGCATCTTCATTATCTACTTTGTATTCTTGCTGAAGATAGACCGAAATGTAATCCGTTATGGCTTTGGTAATTGCAAAGTTTTGCAGTGATTAGACTTTGAAAACCAATGCACTCTATACCATAAAGTTGGTTTTTTTAAATGAGAGTTAATTTTTTAATGTTAACTAAAAACCTAAAATATTTTTAAAGACGCATTACATATATTGAGGAAAATTATATGTCTGATATTTAAAGAATGAATTCTTTTAAAATTATCTACAGTGAAATTGTTATGGCAAATATCAGGATGGATGGTACGCCTTAGAAATAATGAACTATTTTGCTTTTAAAAAATTACTTTTCTGTGAGTGATAATTTTGCAGATCAAATTTTTGCATGCTTCCCCACTTTTTCTCTATTTTAATAAAATCCAAAAATAGTGGCAAGGAATCGAGTCCCTTAGAATATAATTTATGTTAATTTGTTTTTGTAGATAGCTCATATATTGTTATATGTCCCAGTGAGTATTTTGTTTCTCTGGGTAATTTGGGGAGAGACTTCTACTTTCATAGAAGGTTAAATTACACATATCAAGCTATAAACTAGCAAAGATTTAGTCAGCACTGTTACTTACTATTGGGAAGTGTTTTAAAATGGTAACTGTTCATTTTTCCTTCAGTTTTGAAGTTGCTTTAGGGAATTTAACACTCTTGTGTGCACTTTAAACTCCAGATTTTATTTGGATTCTCCAAGTAGATAAAGTGATTTCTATCACTGTGTAGAAAAGGGCCTTCTTATCTGTGGTTAAATGCAGCTGTTTTTGAGACAGAGCTTGTTTCGCACGGCCTACGTCAGTTTTCTGTAACCGTTTTAATACTACAGAATTTATGTGAGAGTACTACAGCAGAAGTTGATTTCTGTCACGGCTTCGTTCTCCCTTCCTTACCGTTCTACTTTGACAGCCACATTCCTAGTGCAGTAAATCATAATAATTAAGGAACATGATCCCTGATACTTTAACAAATTATCTCTTCTCCCTGCTTTATCTCCTACACGAGTGTATAGAACTCATTTATTTTTCCTTTTCTTTAAAGGAGAATATACTTCCTTTAACTACAACCAATGTATTCCTCATCCAAATTCCTGTAGTTCCTTTTCTATATGACTCTATGGCATTCAGAGTTCCTTAAGGTTCATAAATATCTTTTTCTCTTACTCCTCTATTAGCTCTCCTTGTATTTTCTACCAGGACCAAGGCTGGCACTTTGTGTATAGCAGAAGCTTAGAATACAATTCTGTTGTTCCTTGATAAACATAATTTTATCCTCTGAGTGAGAAAAACATCTACCCTTTGGCATTTAGAAAATTAAATCAGAAGTATGTGAATGTGAGATTTTATGTTTTTTGTTATTATTATTATTAATATTATTCTATTTCTTTTTGGGTACCGATAACATGAGGGAGAACTGTATATTTTATAATGTGTAGAATATTTTTAAGAACATACCTCAAGCATTATTATTGTACCAAAGGATTCCTAAAATATAGTGCAATAATGTTCCAAAATGTACTCTTATACTTTTTTAGATTTTCAGTTTTTTCAAATTAAATTAGATAGAAAAAGAAAATTAAGCATTTATTAGGTTTTAGTGCTGTGCGTATAAGAAATAATTAACAATTGCTCATCTGTGTGATTTGAATTGAACAATTCCTATTTAGATATTATTCTCATTTATGGCACAGAGTAATTCTTATTAAATGTACCAGTTGCAGTAAAGCCACAAGGTATTAAATGTTCTGGGTGCTAGTGGAGATTGGGACAAGATCCCTTAGTTATTCCAATTTGTTTTATTTTCTTCCTGTTGTTATCAAGAAAACAGGTAGGCAAATCTAGCTGCTAAAATTACAAGTATCTGTCTTAGTAGATATGTAGTCCTTTTTTAGAACATTTACATGTGTTTATTTAGAATTAGAAAGTCAGATTGTATATTAATGAGAGGCTAAAGGTACCTTTTCACATATAGTAAGTCAGGCATATAAAGTTTATTTCCTGAATTTCATTTTAGAACACAGTGTAGAACCAAATCCTTTTTTAGAAGTTTCCTAAATTACTGTATTATTGCTTGACTGAGCCCTTTTCTGTCTTAGTTTTTACTACAGTTCCTGGTTTGTAAATTTAAAAAGCCCATGAAAATGTTAATTCTGAAGTGTTTTTGGAAAAGAAATGTCTCTTATACAGTGGTTAGTAGGTGGGGAATTTGCCTAGAGATATGTGGGGGTTTGAGACTTTAGGTTTTTTTTTGATGTAATATGTGGGATTATACAATGAGAGTGTAAATTTTAAGTACTCTTAATGCTATGCTGTGACTTGATGATTATCTAATTAGGTAATATGTGAGAAGTTAATATTTTATTTCCCAAAGACAATTGTTTTCCTAACCTTTAGAATTCCGAAAATTATAAAACATCAATAAGGTTTTATACAGTTTATATCGTTACTATGCTTTTATTTTACACATAAATCAAAATTGCTTCTTGGCTACACTAGAAATTTTATTGACTTTTTTTTTTCCCCCTAAAAAAAGGCAGAAATTTTTTTTGTTCTAAAATGCTACCTTTTGTTGTTGCTCTAAAATGATACTTGTATACAATTATATACATGTTATAATGATGGCCACTTTTAGAAACATACGGACATTGATATTATTTAGTCATCTTCTACCTTCCGCCCAGTATGATTAGTCAAAACAGTCCGCAATTCATTATTGCCATTAGGTGAACCAGAACCTTAAGATAGGTTGTTCCCTTTCTAGAATTCTTTATTCCTATATTTTCAAACTTGGATTTTTTTGACCTTTAATCTCCCTTTACAGTGTTTTATATCAGTATCAGATGTTTTATTAGCTATTATCCCCATGTTCTGGCCTTGTTTGCTGTCTAAATTTAAGGTGGTAATATTCTCTTATTTTCCAGTGTTAATTTTCATAAATATACCTTTTATAATAAATGAAAATAAATATTTGAATAAAATTAGTCCAAAGTCAACTCTTTTGAGAGTTCTTTGTGGTTCCTTTCTGTGTTCCTTCTGTGTTCCTTTTCTAACTGTCTTTATTCCTTTCCAAAATAAATGTCCTAAATTTATTCATTCCTCATCTTATCAGGCAAAATAGGCAAGGGTTAGGGACTACTGCACATATTCCCAAATAGAAATAATATATCTTTGAATGTATCTACTCTGCCTACCATTGCTATTATTATATGTCACCAAATAATTGAAAGTAACTAATATTTGATAGGTGCTTTTAAAATAACATCTCCAATGTAATTTTGAGTATTTCAGGTTTCCCTCTGTCCACCAACACTTAATACCTACCATGTGTAGGTGACCGTGCTTAGTGCCATGGGAGATAACCCTATGGTTGATGGTACTGGTTAACAAGGAGCTTAGACATTGGTAGAATGAGTAAGACATTATGGAAGACATTGAAGCTAACGCACTAAAATGATACAATATTCCTTTTGCTGTGATACAGTTATAAAGTGCTGATTTAAGGTGAGAATGTTTTTTCCTGGCCCTTTTATTTTTAAGGCTTTAGTATTTAGTATACCCTTCTGTAAGAAACCACAAATTTAGATGAACAGGTAATTGGAGGAACATGATTTTAATTCAGAAAACTTAAGGATTTCTTTAAATGTCAACTTTCTGTAAATATTTGCTTCCAAATAGTTAATAATGAAGAAGACTGGAAACAGAGAAAAGTAAAGTGTTTGAAAACTGCTTCCAAAAGGAAATCAATCAGAAATAAAGTAGAATTTAGTGAATTTAGTGCTGTACCTTGAAGACACCATAGAAAAATTGTGATAGGGCAAATAGACTGTAAGGTCAAAGGGATTGGGTTCTATTCTGCTTTCCAAGTGTGTGTCAATGACTCTAGAGTTTTTAATTTACTCACGCACAAATGGAAATAACCATACCCATTCCATGAGGCATTTGAGAGGATTAAGTGAAATAATGTGGTCAGTGTACCTAGTACAGTGCACACAGTACCCTTCAGTAAATTAGATTCCTACTCCTTTGATAATTTTTTTGAAACTTTCAAATATATCTAGAATGGATACTTACATACTTTTAAGTACTCCAGTGTTCCCATTCTCTCCCCTTAAATGTCTTTATTATCTATCCAAGCTCTGTCCTAGCTGGCTTTGGATAAAATAACCTATAGGTTGCCTGGTAATCTATAAAGCATATAATTGAATTAATTCAGTTGGAGCTTGGCCTTCCCCTCTCTTCACCCAGTGTCACATTTAATAAATAAATTTGTTTAAATTAGCATCTTATAAATTCAGAAATACATTATGGAGATATATGCCCATTTTTAAACATATATTGATTAAAAATTAATATCTGGCTGAAAATAATGC